AACCATACGAAATTTCATACGTTACCAGCACCAATACTCGAACCATATACAAATCCACGTTTTATATAAGATTAATAATATATGTTAAGATTATATAGTTTATGCGACGAGATAAATATCTAACTTTGAAATATGAGAAATTGTTAAAATTGTTAAATTGATTGACCAATGAGGAAACAATTATTGTAGAATGCAATTGTTACGAAAATACGAAGGGAGCAATGCAAATAGAAAATATGAAATCGTGTTGCCTGTACATTTGAGTGAGTACATATCGCGTCGATTGTAAGGATGAATATACGATGAAACTCAAATTTTAATAATTTAAATGACTAACTATAAATTTGTTAATTTATATTCGATGCATTTATTAATTGTATAGGATTATTTGTTCCTTCGATTAAATCAATTTTTAACAATTGTTAAAACACGCATTGCACGATTTTTGCATCCATTCGATTATTTTCCTATCTACTTTTTTTTTTTGGTTAACTGTAAGCATAAGATTACAGGAAAGTATATGCGTATAAAATAAATAAGATTATTGACTGTTACAGAATTGACTTGGTTTTGCAACCAGATCTACCCAATTTCCAACTATTTTTTCGTTCCATTATATTTTCATTAACTCTTCCACGACTGACTGAACGAATCGATGTTTCAGGAATTCGACGATGATGGAAATGTCCAAGGAACTGGACTCGATACAACGACACGTTACGTTATGTCCCGGATCGAATGTCCCGGATCAGACAATGATCGATCAACTGCCATTCAAATGTGAAAATGAATTAAAGAATGAGACATCTCTAAGAAAAATCCTAAGAAATTGTAACAAATTGGTTATTAATAAACCAGAGACGGTGAGGAAAAATGAAAACAGTTTAACGAATGATTCGTCATTGAATGGAGTTAACGTTGGTTTCATTTCGAACAGGATTATCAATCATATTTGCTCGAAAGATGTTGACAGTGATTCATTGTCGTTCGTGAAAACGACGAAGCACGATCCAACTGGAAGAACGCAGAACGATTTGTGCATAAATTCAGTGGAACAGGTATTGGTTGCGATCCGAGATCCAGCGACCAACGAGATCAAAAATATACTGATGCCGATTGAAACGAGAGATGCCTCTGGATTGAACGTAATTAAAAGCGTCCTTGTACCGATTCGTGACTCGAACGGTGTTACATCGTACGATATTAAAAAAGTAGTGGTGCCTATCAGACAGACGAAGTTAAATTTGTGCCAGCCGCCGAAACTCGAAAACAAATTGATGGTCGATACAAGTACAGGTGAACCTGTGAAAAACGAGGGAAAAGAAGACGAACGAATAATATCAAACGAGAATGAAACGAGAAGAATAAATGAGCAAATAACGTTAGACGCCCGACTTCATCCTTCATCGGAAGAAGCAAGGAAAAATTTAACGAAAGATGAGAAAAAGGAGGGTCAGACAGAATCGAGAAAAATAGTATGTATCCGAGAAAGCCAGAAAGAAGAAACGGATCAGATATTAGAAACTCTGAAGAACGTTTGCCCTGTATGTCAAAAAGTGTTCAAGAGCGAGGACATGATGCAAAGGCACTTGCGCAAGTTTCACGAGAAGACGTATCCTTGCGACAAGTGTAGCAAGTGTTATCCATCAAAATTATCTCTGGAGGAGCACAAGAAGTCGCACGAGGATGACTCTTACTTGCAGTGCTCCATGTGTCACTTAAAGTACAAACGTAAGATAGGGCTGAAGTATCACGAGATCCGCGTGCACAGCGACGTGGATCCAAAATTCATGTGCGATTATTGCGGGAAACGGTTCAAATTGAAACTGGACCTGGGCGTCCATATCGAGAAGATACACATGGGGATCGCCCATATCTGTAAAATATGCGGCAAGGTGGTGAAGAATATCACGCATCACGAGTGGCAGCACGACAGGGTGGCCAAGAAAGTCGTTTACAAATACAGTTGCGATCTTTGTCCAAAGAAATTCACGACTCGCAACAATTTGGACAATCATTTGCTCATGCACAAAGACGGGTTCAAGTGTACCCTTTGCGACGAAGTTTTCTCCTCGCCATTCGCGCTTGGCAGCCACAAGAGCACGAGGCACAGGCCTGGCGCCACGTGCCCCATTTGCGAGAAAGCTTTCAACAGCACGAGCAATTTTTATCAACACGTGCTCACCCACGCTGGGGTCAGACCGTATAAATGCGACATCTGCGGCGAAGATTTCACGCAAAGATCCAGTGTTCTGAGACACCGAAAGACTCATCCTGGACCTCTTCCTCCTTTGACGGATCCAACTCCTATTGCGGATACCGCTAGGAAGATATTGGAACAACTTTCGAGTGCTTGAACGTATTTATGTAACTATGCTGTATGAAGATACGAAGAGAAATGGATGCATTTTGAAAATACACGGTGATTGATATTGTGGCACAAAGTTTGGAAGAAGATGTATGATCTTTGTTGCATATGGTAATTGAACACCAACCAACGTATGCGTCGTCGTTACGTTAGTAGTAGATTGATTTATCGTTTCATTCGTTAATGAAATTCAACATTTGTGAAATATTCTATTCTTGAGACTGATTTTGATTTCTTTTTTTTTATATACAGAGAATTTTATTTTAAATTTGATAAAGAATAGATATTTGAAGATATAACTTATATATAAAAGTTATAAGTTATGTATATTATATCGTTTACATATTGAAGAAACGTATTAACGTTCCTTTGTTAATCTAATACTTTATTAAATATTAACATTTTATTTAGTAGTATTTTAATTGAATACTTATTTTGTAATAAATGTATATAGAAAATTATAAAAATATCCGTTTTATTTTAAATTATTTTGGTTAAATTACGATTTGAGATGTGATATTTAAGTTAAGTTATTGATTTGATTCTGAGTTTAATATATTTTTAATGAAATTAATTTATCATGTGTCGAAATACGAAAGTGATCATCCAATGATTTCACACAAATGACGTGAAAATATTGGCATTTAAATATCTCAGTTGTTTTAATATAGTGTATATTAAATGACGCAAAAGTAAGTTACATTTTTCATATATTCAAATGTTATGTAAATCATGTTTTCACATATTTTTTTATCAATACATACTTGATAATTTCTATTTTAAGAAAAGATATTGTTCAACTATATGTATTCAATATGTAAAATTAATTTTTTTTTTTTTTTTACGAATATTCAAAGTTTTGTTCTTTTAGACTAAACAAATTTTAAAAGTTTATTAAGAACAATTATAATTACTTTATATTCCGTAAATAATAATAATAATAATAAATCATATATTCTTCTCACATACTGACACACAATATCCTTGTTTCAGAGGAGAAGCCGACTCAGAAATTCAGCAAAGAAATCCAGAAAGAAATTCGTCTTATTGTTTAACTGAAGAAGTGGATTTACAAAATCAGGAGAAGGACAAAGCATCAAAAATATCGAATCGAATTCCATGGACGAATTGCACAAAATCAGAAATTCATCCGGAAGAATCACAAAAACAAACTGAACTCTCCATTCGCGTGAACTCTAAATGTTTACAAGATTCTACGAGAAATTTAAAAGTTTCAAAAATAAATTCTCGAAATTCAGCCTCGTTGAAAAGAGCAGAAATCGAATCGATTATCCCAAAGAAGGAGGAAGTCGAGGTAGATCAAGTATTGGATAAGATCAAAAACACTTGTCCGTTTTGCGAAAAGCACTTCGATAACGCGAAGAAGGTTGAGAATCATGTAATTTATGTGCACAGAAAACCGTATAAATGCGACATGTGTAAGAGAACGTGTCACACAGCTCGAGCATTGGAGGAGCACAAGATGATCCATCGATCGGATTATTTCTTCGAGTGCAACATCTGTCGCGTGAAATACAAGAGCGAAGACAGCTTGAAGAGGCACAATATGCGAACCCATAGCGATTACGAGTCGAAATACATATGCGAGCATTGTGGCCGTAGCTACAAATTGAAGACAGACTTGACCCATCACGTGAAGAGGTCGCACGCCTCAGAGCTACAGATTTGTCGATTCTGCGGGAAGGAAGTGAAGAACGTGAAGGCACACGAGTGGAGGCATCAGAAACGTGACAAAGAAACGACATACGTGCACACTTGCCACTTGTGTCGCAAAAAGTTCCTTCACAGAAGCAGATTGGACAATCATTTGAGACTCCACGAGAAAGGCTTTAAATGCGAACAGTGTGGCAAAGAGTATGATGGAACACGTGAGTTAATGAATCACAAAAGGTTCAAGCATGGCCGAGTGAAGATTTTCACCTGCGTCTTGTGCCAAAAGGCGTTCCCTTCCAGCAGTAATTTTTATCAGCACGTGTTGACCCACGCTGGCATCAGGCCCTACAAATGCGATGTTTGCGAGGAAGATTTTACTCAGCGTTCTAGCCTTTTGAGACACAGAAGACATCATCCTGGACCACTTCCCCCGTTGCACTCGACTCATCCGCAGATCGCTGAATTGGCCAGGAATTATTTGCAGAAACTACAGATCGACAAAAGCTTGGACGCGAGATTATGATCGTTTTTGAAATCACGTTCTTCGCGAATTGAGACTTGGAATGGTGGTTTCAAATAATTGAGACGCTGCTTTTTTGGCGACAGTTTAAAGAATTTTAGAGGACAATTTGAGATTATTAATGTAAGTGATTTATACTCGAGATACGTTTATTTTTCATTAAAAAAACCATGTTTTGATTGTAATGACGAAGATTAAAGTTGCGAAAATTTGATAATGTTAATGAGCAATTTCCGATTTAAGAAATTTAAGAAATTATTTGATCGATACTTTTTAAACTTCTTATTTTACAATATACATTCTTTACATTCTAATTGAACGATACAAAAGGATATTATAAATAAATAAAAATAATAAACAATTCAAACGATAAATGAAATAGAATTGAAATTGTTGCATATTAATGTATAATGTAAGATTATAAATAAGATGGAAAGATATAAGACTGAAAAATTATTTATAATAAGTTGAAATATCAAATTCTAATATTATCATATACATATATATTTTTGTAATAATAATGAAAAATATTTTTGTACATTTGTATTTAATATTCAAATCATTATCTTTAGAAATAAAGATGAGAATTATTAATTTCAACATATACAAAAAACAAGTTAACATTCCTTATTTCAAATTATTCTAATTTATGTATTACCGAATAAATAATAGAACTTTAAATTAATAGTTAAAAAAAATTCAAAATTTGTAGTTTGACCTATTAAAAAATATTTATCCTAACAGATGAAATTTAAGATTTCGATAATTCAAAATTATTCTTCAATATATAACAGGAAGAAGAAGAAGAAGAAGAAGAAGAAGACACGTTGAGTTATTAAAATCAATTTTATTGTTATATTAATAAATACTCCCATAAAAATACTCCTAATTTTATACTATAAATATACATGACTATCATCTTGACTTTCATCTTTCATTATTATCATCATACTATAGTAAAAATAATTCTTAATATTCTTTTTTTCTACAGTGTAATTAATACATGTGTCTTTGAAACACACACCGAGAAATCTTATCGCACATCCAGGGTTCTAAAGGAAGAGCGAAATCAATTTTTAAGAAATAATTTTAAACATATTCCAGCTGCATGCTCTCTCATGTTTAGCAAAGTCAAAAAAATAAAAAAAAAAAAAAAGAAAAGAAAGAAAGAAAGAAAGAAAAATAAAAAAATAAAAAAAAAAGAAAAGACAAATCACCTTATCCTCTCACACACCTGATCCCAAAAAATCGTAATCGACTGACTAGCTTTGTGGTTTTTTAGGTACAATGCGCTAGACCCACTCGCTCCAACTTTTCTGATAGTAAAGCTAGAAGATAATTACTTTCGGATACCAACGTCGCTGAGCGTGTTCATGATGAAGGAACCGAATCCCAACGGAGAGACGAACGCCCAATCGTCGAAAGACGACGCCGAGTCGGCGAAAACGAACAACAACGAATTGGAAGAGAAAACAAAGGATAGCGCGAGCACCGACGATCCATTCGACGAGCTCGACGACGCACCCTTGGACTTCCGGAAACAGAGGCAAGAGCAGGAGAGGAGCAAATCGAGCAAACAAGTTGCAACAAAGAAGAAGGTGCACACCTGCGAGATCTGTTACGCCACGTTCGACCGTAAGAGCAAGCACACCAGGCACATGTTCAAGCACAGCAACTCGAGGCCCCACAAATGCGCGATTTGCTCGAAAGGGTTCAAAACGACGGCCCACCTGTCCAGGCACATGGAGGTTCACGACGAACCTGTCAATTTGCACGCGTGCAGTCTGTGCGACTTCAAAGCGCGCACCAAACCCTACCTCAAGATCCATTACATCAGAAAACACACGGAGGACTACAATTACAAGTGCGAGCAATGCGGGAAGATGTTCAAGGTGCAATCGGATTACACGACTCACGTGAAGGATCACGACACGGAGTCTTGCGTCTGCGACATATGTGGCTCCTCTTATCCGAGCAAGAGCTCCCTCTACTTCCACAAACATTACAAGCACAAGACGAAGGTGAAGAAGTTTCAGTGTCAGACGTGCAAGAAGAAGTTCAAGACGCAGAAGAATCTGGACAGTCACATGGAACTGCACAAGATCAAATACGTTTGCGAGCAATGCGGTATGGAGTTCAAGAGCAAATACGGCCTCACCAAGCATCTGAGGACTCACTCCGGGGAGAAATCTTACTTGTGCGCGATTTGCGGGAAGACGTTCGGGTGTCTGAGCTCGCAGAAGATCCATCTGTTGACGCACGTCGGTGAACGGCCTTACGTTTGCGACATCTGTGGGCAGAGCTTCACGCAGAGGTCGCCCATGATGCTGCATCGCAGGAAGCATCCCGGGGTGCATCCGCCGCCCCCGCCGATTAAAATAACGAACCTGCTTCACGGTGTACAGGACAAAATAATCGTGAACAAGAGCAGCAAGTAAATGCACAAAATCAGGTGGACAATGTACATTCTCTTTTCTTTTCTTTTTTTTTTTTTTTCTTTTCATTTTCTTCTTTTTTTTCTTTTTCTCCTCTCTGTTCAATGTAAAGTTAGAATGTGAAAAGTATGGTGAGCGGGAGCATCGATTTTTCGAACGGTTGTTAACAATTTGTTCGAGTGAAATCTCTTTCTAGTTTGAACCGCTTTTCCTGTGAAATTAATTATGTTCCATTAGGTCGTTCAATTTTGAGGAAGGTTAAGATAAGAAGTTTTTTTGTGGGATCGGTGTACAAGTATTAGATCGACAGACTGCGTCGTGTTCCATCAGTCTACGTGATACGTAAGTTCTCCTTTTTTTTTTTAATCCTAAGAGAAAAAAATAAATTTGACTGGATGTGGCGAACATTTGGAGTAACGTTTGAACAACGTTTGTGGATACGTTGCAAGATAATCTTGGATTTTTTTTTTTTTTAGATACACAACGAATTTACTATTGTTATTATTATCGATTAAATTGTAACGAGTTGTATAATAGAATGTTTTTCTAGGAATTTCGGATCATTTTATACAAGATATTTAAATTATTCTTTTTCTATTGATCGAAGAAATCATTGATCCGTAATTACGATGAATTGTACATATTGTGTTCATATATTTTTCCCTGTTTTTCTGTTTTTCACTTATGAAGTGTCATATTGTTTGCTTCTAACATTAACATCTCAGTTGGAAGAAATTGTAAGCGTAATTTTTCAATTTAAACAGCTTGTTTTAATCCAACGTTGTGCGCGTCGATTCAAGCGAAATAAACGTGATATTTTTGTACAGTCTTGAAATATTGTTTCCTTAAAAAAAAATTAATCATTTCGCTTGGAAAATTTTTAAAATCATTTACCCATACGCTTTGTGACGGTAGAAATGTTAATATTTTAATTAATTGTTAATTTTTTTTAAATGAATTTGTTTAAAAATTCGATATTTAAATTATTGATATTCACGTTTGATATTCTTTGTTTTTCGATTCGTTTAACGAACTAATATATTGTATTATATAGAATAGAACGATTGTAATATATGAAATGATGTAAATGACGAAATCTTTTTGAAAACTTGATATAAAGTTTCAATCAAATAAAAATTAACGAGCATGTAAAAATCATAGCTAATATATCATAGCTACTAATATATCATATTGAAACTTTAAAAAAGAGAGAGAGAGAAAAAAGTCAAATTTTGTATCGACAAAATGCACGTAAAAATAACTTTTATATGAGCATAAATGTAACGTGAAAATATGTAATATACATATTGATTTATTCTTACGAAAAAAAATTTATATTACTTGTAAATTTGAAAAAAAAGAATATTATGTAAAATAATTTTTACGAATTGTATTATTAAGAAATAATGCATAGAAAAATAATTTTTTTAAATTAAGAGTAATTCTTCTTATTATTATTAGCTTGTTTTGTTACTAATTCGTTATTTTTCTTTCTAGTGGAGAAAGAAAAAAAAAAAATTAATCGCCAATACATATCAAAACTTTCAACTTCATTTCTTTCATATTTATAATTTTAATTTTACATTTCATGTCTGTCGTATGTAATAAAGACTAAACCAATAATTGTAATTACTTACAACAGGTATCTTTAATATATAATTATAGATCTAATTGTTTTAATCGTTTTCTTAATTTCTTTTCAGTAAAAAAAAACAAAAACTCTAACAATTTTCAGCGGCTAAGACAAGACTCTCCATAAGAAGAAAAGACGTTCGTTAATTTCTCTCCTAGCTGATATCGATACTCCGTACGTTCTCCACGAAATAATTAAATTACCGCGATATTTTTCCTCCGATTAACATAGTTCTTTTCTATTTTTAGGCCGTTACCACGCGATCCTCTTGTACAAACTTGCCTAGTGGTAGCCAAAAGGTCGATAAATACTTTCTCCTGCCTGTCGAGGAATCAGTGTAAAAGCAACCGGAAGAGGATTCTATCGCGACAAACATTTGCATCAAGACTGAAGTAGAAGAAGAAACATCTGAACAACAATTTATCGAATCTCAATCACAAGAATAACACAGATAAACGAGAAGCTTTCGATATCGAAGCCTCCATGTCTTTCTATTCAAATATCTTTAAACTTGACATAGCGATTGGAACAACAATATTGCAACAATGAATCTCAAAAGAGGTTCTCATTCTCGAGGAGCCTTAAAAAATTATTCTCAACAAAGCTCAACGAGTTATTCTCAACGAACAGAGTTTTTTAGGTGCAATTACTGTTTCAAGATATTCAGAAGAAAGGATTCGTTGACATGACGACAACAGTGGAAAGATGGATCGTGAATTCATGTCGAAGAGGAGCAACAGTCTGAAACGTCAGGATGCACAGCAAGTGTTACAAATGTTATAAATGTTCCAAGATGTCCTAAGATGTTCAAATTGAACACTGATTTGACCAAGCATCAAATGAAACACGTGATAATACCATGCCCTTATGAATGTGAGAAGACGTATCAGAACGAGTATTTTCTTTATATATATCAGACCAAGAATCGCAGAAGCACTTGCTGTATACATTGCGAACGGATTAAAAGTAAATCACGACGCGATCGCATCAAATAGGAAGATATTAATCAAAGCATCATCTTCGAGGAAATCGAAGATTGAGGTGAAAGCGGTGTTCAAGTGCATCCAGTGCAAATGGCGGTTGAGATCTTGGAAATTGCTTCGTAAACATATGCAGCGATATTTGCTGAGTTATATTAATTATATTATATTAATTTACAAGAAAAGAGGCCTTTAACATTGTATATAAATAGATCATTATATAAGTTGGATTCATAAAAATAAGAATATCAGAGGATTTTATTTTCTTCTGTTGAAAATATTGAATATTATTGATGTAATAATGAAAGTTTGATTAATACTCGTTGTAGATTAAGCGAAAGAAGAAATATTTGTAATAGTTGTAGGTATACGCGATCAGGGATTTATTGTAAGTACAAAATAAACGATAGTAAGTATTTATCGTTTTTATTAAAGTAATATATATAATATATTATTATTATATCTTATAAATTTTTTTGTATTATTAACATAAGAATTACAATATTATGGTAATTTGAAAATGATATGCAGTGTCCTATGTAAGTATTGTAATTGCATACATATACATATTGCATAATTTTTGCATCAATGTTTTTAAAAATATTAATCTTTGACAAATATTTAGAACTGAACAACATTTGGATGAAAATTAAAAGTTAAAAAAATAACAGTGATAATGGTGATAAATATTCTGAAGAATAGAATTCTAATATATTCAAATATAAAATTTAAAAGTTTACTTCTTACTTCTTTCAGGTGAGTTTTTCTTTTATGAGTCTTTCTAATTGTTTTTCTTCTTCGTTTTATTCTAATATTTCTAATGTGAAAATATTATTTTGTGTAATAACAATAAATGGATTAAGCATGTAGTTATTTGAAAATTTTCTAATTAATTAACATTTAACGTTAAAAAGAAATTATTATGAATTTTCAAAGAAAGATTTCATCAAGAATCACCTGCGTTCTATATATTCACGAAAAAAAAAACATTTGATTATTATAAATCCTTTACTATATCTATATCAGTAATGAATAATGATAAAAAAAATATTGCTACATAGTACATAGATTATTTTAATCAATAAAAATTATTTTTTATTTTCAACGTAAAGTGAATAAACATGGCGATTACAAAAACAGAATGTATGTGATAATACGATAAAAATTGGATTTTTTTTTAATAAAATATGATAATATTTAATAATAAATAATTATATTTACTAGGCACTAAATTTTTTTATCTATGATATCAATATTACTATATATATCGATATAAGATGATAAAAATGTTGATGATATTTCTGTTTGTTAGTCATTCAAGTTTTATTGTGTTTCATCATCAATTAATAAAAGTTTTTCGAAGATTTTATTTAAAATCTACAATAAAATTTAAATTTTCTAATCAAGCTTTTGTAAATAACAAATACGATTAAATTATATATATATATATATGAATATACGACCATCTTTAAATATTTATTCTAATCATTTTTGTAATATTTATAATTTGTTATGTTAAATTTTTTATATTAGATAAGGAAATTAATAACTTATTTCTTAATGAGATACTAACATGAAATGTTTTACCAATTGTAAATGGAATACAAATTCAATAACTTGTACATAATCCTACAATCATTTAACTTCCATTAGAATACAAGAGAAGAAAATAAATGCTCTATATCGTCTTTTTATCCAGACTTTCGTAGATGTCTTAAATCTTACTGACTAATTTCATTCATGTTTTAGGAAATCAACGCAGCGTTTAACATCGAAGAGCAAAGCCATCGCTGGTAATCAAACGAGAAACCAATTAAAATCCTCGTACAAATCGTCAAGCATCCTACAAAGAAGAATCCTGTTCCGAGCATCGAAAAATCGAAAACGCAGAAGCAACAGGCGTTTGAACAACTCTTCTAGTCGCATTGAAACGAAAAATATTCCCGCCAATTGTACAAATTTCAAACAAGGGAAAATAAAGGAGGAGAAAAGAGCAAACAATTGTTCGGAAAAATTGAAAAATAACGAGAATTGTTCGCAGCAGGATCATTTGTACAAAAAACTCCACGATGGCACGTATACCTGCGACATTTGCCAAACCACTTTCGAACAGAAGAGCAAGATCCTCCGCCATATTACCAGCAAACACAGCTTCCATCGACCGTTCAAGTGTTCAACTTGCGACAAAACGTTCAAGTATAATTGCGACTTGAAGGCCCATCGGTTGGTCCATCAAGATATCGATTCCAGTTTGTTGCATTGCTGCGACAAGTGCGATTACCGCACGAAAACAAAGAACAATCTCAAGTCTCACTACATCAGAAGGCATACCGATGATTACAAATTCGCCTGTGAACATTGCGGAAAACGTTTCAAGATGGAGTGGGATTTGAAGTTTCATATCGGGACGCACAGCAATTCTCAGCACATGTGCGACATCTGTGGAAAATTTTACACGAGCAATTATTCGTTGTACAAGCACAGAAAGGTGGCGCATCTGAACGAGTACAAGTTCCAATGTAACGTTTGCAACAAGAGGCTGTTGACGCAAGAGAATTTGGACAATCACATGCAACAACACAGTAGAACGTACGAATGCAAAGAGTGTGGAAAGGTGTTCGCCTCGAAGAGGTATCTGGCGACGCACACGACTACTCACACAGGTGTGAAACCGTACACGTGTAACATCTGCAAGAAGAACTTCAGAACGTCTCATATGAGGAATACTCATCTATTGACCCATTCTGCGGAAAGGCCGCATATTTGTGATCTCTGTGGACAATCTTTTAAGAGGAGATATTACATGATAGAGCATCGAAGAAAGCATCCTGATGCTCATCTGTCCTCGCCTCCTGTGCCTCTTGGAAAGAGAAAAAGTGTCGTCGAATTGGGAGCTAATACCGTTGCTGACTTCCAATCAGAGATTTCTTTGTAACATAATAATATATTTTATTAGATTTCGCAATAAGTTTATCTCTAATAAGCTTTTGTACTTGTATCTGTCTATGTTTTAAATATCTTGTACCATTTTAATCTATGTTTTGAAGGAACTTATGCTATATATATATATATAAATCGATCTAAGATCTGAGAAACGTAAAGTGCGTGATAAATTATAATAACAGAACAATGTAATATTTTTAAATCTTAAAAAAATGTAAAAGAATAATTAATATTAACTATATAGAAGACTGTAAAACAGTCTTGTATGTATAGATTAAAGTTCATAAAACATGAGGAATATTTTCAAAATAATCTGTATATAAGCTTCATTCTGTAAATGCGACTATGTAACTATTTTTATATTTATTTATCTCGCCCGATCATTTTTTCGCATATTTCTGCAAATTTTTTCTTTTTTTTTTAATTTTATTAATCCTTACACAAATTCTATTTTAAACATTCTAATAACAACTTACAAACACGAAGGTAGCAATAAATAAAGCAGCAATGTAATTCCAAACAAGACTAATAGTGCAGAATAAAAAAAAAAGAAAGAAAGAAAACTCATTCCAAATCACCCACACTTCGCGTATCTCACAAACATCACAAACTTCTATTTAGACACAAACGCATAGAAAGACGACTTAGATCGCAGCAGTAAGTAACGCTTGTGTAACAAATACGGGAAGGAAAGCCGTATTTCGAAAGTAATCATTCCCTTTCGATCGTGTTTTAGGGGAGGTGTCTGCGGCAAGAGGATCCTCACCACGGATTCCTCCGGTCGATTCATCGTTGGCAAGGACTCGACGCCCATGCAGCTTTGGCAGCACGTCGATTCCAATGGTAAATTGCACTATTCGTTGATGCCTGCGTTGAACGACGCCAAGAGACCCGAGGAAGACTCGCACGTTTCTTCCACGCTCGTCAAAATGGAGGACGAGGAGAACAAGGACACGAATCGACGTTACGTAGATGGTTGCGTCCACTTGTGCGAGGTAGCCATCGACTTTTACACCTGCGACAAATGCGGTATGAAGTTTCCCGTGGAGAGCATGTTGAACAGACACAAGATCTCTCACAACTCGAGCCTCTCCCGGCTTCGTGGAAAGCGACGTTCGAGCAACGGTCATCGGTTGAAGACGACAAGTTCGGGTAAGAGATCGTCGAGGAAACGAAGATACGATTGTACGTCTTGCGACTTCAGTTGTGGCGAGAGGTGTTCGCTGGCTGTTCACGTGAGAAAGAAGCACGGGAGGCTGGAAGGTTCGGTGAAGGAAGATTCGAGCAAAGTCTTGTGCGTTATTTGTAATAGGAAATGCGACAGTCGATCTATCCTGAATAAACACATGGAGGGGCATAGAGACAGGAAGACGAGTTACTTCACGTGCAACAGTTGCAGTTTCTCGTGCAAAAGGAGCAGCACCATGGTATCTCACGTAGCGCAGAATCATCAGAAGTTGAATACCGAAGAAAGCAGCTCGAGGAAGAGGTGCAAGGTCAAGTGCAACGATGAACAAACTTCGATTAAGGAGGAATCGAGGGAGACCTGTCCGGAGGATAAAGATGGTTCGAGCACACCGTCCGAGCTCGAATGTAAAAGCGAACCTTCAATCGGCACTCGAACGGCAAAGAACAGGCTAAGAAGGCTGTCGAGGAACAGTGCAATCTCTGCGACTTCAAGTGTTCGAAGAAGAGCACGTTGTACTCGCACAAACGGCAACATAAAATCATGGAGATAAGCGACGTGTACTCTTGCAACGAATGCATATTCAAGACCAACAAAAAGTCGTCTTTGTACTCGCACATAAAAAGGAAGCACAAAGTGCCGAAATCGTGCTCGTCCGACGGTCAGCCGCAGTTATTCTACTGCAACCAGTGCGACTACAAGAACAAGAACAAATATGAGTTGAAAGTGCACGTGGCCAGAAAGCATACGGATGATTTCAAGTTCTCGTGCGAGACTTGTGGCAAGAAGTTCAAGGTGAAAGGCGACCTGACCAACCACATACGTTTCAGCCATAAGGAACAACCGGTTATCTGCGACGTTTGCGGGAAAACGTGTCTGAACAGCAACTCGTTGTACGTGCACCAGAAATTCGCCCATTACAAGGCTAAATACGAGTGCCAGGTGTGCAAGAGGAGGATGGTCACTCAGGAAAATTTGAACGAGCACATGATCAGGCAGCACGAGAAGAGGGAGAACGTGGTTTGCGAGGAGTGCGGGAAAACGTTCTCCAGGAACAGTAGGCTGAAAGTCCACATGAGGATCCACACTGGCGACAAACCGTACACCTGCACTATATGCAACAAATCGTTCGCGCGTAGAACAGCGTTGAAACAACACTTGTTAATTCATACTGGGATCAGGCCTTACGTGTGCGACATTTGCGGCAAGGCGTTCACGCAGAAGCCTGGATTGATCAGTCACAGGAAGTCGCATCCTGGCTCGCATCCTCCGCTTCCTAGAGTGTTGATCGATCACATACTGAACGAAGTAATGAATAACTGAGATTGTTACAAATATAATTAATGGACGTGGACGATCGTTTATTACCGTGAAAATGTGATTTGAACGGTCTTGTGCAATCAGTGTCTTTTTTTTTTTTTTTTTTGATTTATCTTGATTGTTAGCGGTTTACGGACTATGTAAAGGTTTATCAAGATACTTTTAAGATATTAAAATAGGGGTATACAGATTATCGTCTGTGTTATTTTTATAGTTTATTAGCTTTATTAAAACCTCGCTATGGAGATATACAATTTATGTGTAAAGGGGTACTGTATGTTGCTGAGAATGTAGAAGAGATGAGAAAAGAAATTTTTTTCTTTAATCGTGCTTCAATTCTATCATCTTTGAATTTTTACGCAATTCGTTCCCAATAAACAAAGTATTAAGTATGAACAAGCTGAATTTCATCTCTCGAATTTTGTCAGTGACATAGAGTGGCAAAAGCGTTGAAATAATTGTTTCGAATCTTAAAATTGCATATCTTAAATTATTTATAAAAGTATATGTGATTCTCTTATTTCCATTTCTACGTTAGAATAATAATAATTGTTCTCGAACAATTTCGCTCATTTACAACACTCCAGATGTATATAACTATCTGTAAAACGCATTACAAGATCTTTTTTATGTAATATATCCAACATTGAATTGAAAATTTTGTTTTACGTATAATAGGATTTACGATCTTCTAATCTTCATTATAATTTCATTCACAGCGAAATGTTTCATTGACGATGCAGAAAAAACTCCTATAATTTTGTTTCACTAATAATATCCTGTTATTTACAATTTTACTTACTTACACACAGAAAAATTGGACAATTTGTCTGCAATTGTAAGTCTGATATACTACTATTGTCCTTGATTCATGTGGAAACTTCACCCTAGATTCCTCGCGTGATCCTAGTCAGATTACGAATAGAAAAATTTCGCGATATAGATTTAAAGAAAAAAGTGAAAAGAATGCAGGCGACGCACAGAATAATCGCAACTGTCCTCGAACCGCCTAACTGACCATTCTCTACTTTTCAGGATTCTAAACGGGGATGGACGTTTTATATACGGCAAGGAATCGATTCCAATGCAGCCTTGGCAAATTGTCGACGTAGAAGGTTGCCTCTACTATGCCTTCCTTCCAACGAGTCAAACGCCAAAGCTCGCCGAACGGGAGAGAACGAAGTCGACGGACGATAATAGTCCGAAGAACAGCGAGGGGGAGGAGACATTCGTGATCCCGGCCGAGGAGGAAACGGTCGACAGCGATCTGTGCCCTGTCAAAATAAAGAAGGAGGACATGGACGAGGTTTCGTCGTCGAACGAGGACAATTACGACGACGCGAAAGGATACGCCTGCGAGGAGTGCAACATCTGCTTCCCGGTGATGCAGATGTTGAAACGGCACAGGAACGCGGTCCACGAGCAGGCACAGCGATACAAGTGCAAAGTCTGTTTCAAGATATGCCGTAGCCTGGTCGCGTTCAAGATGCACGTGGCTCTGGAGCACAAGACGGAGGAGGAGGAGGAGGTGAAAGATTCCGAGAGTCTGACCTATGCGTGCAACTACTGCAACTACGAGAGCACCAACAAGTCCACCCTTCATTCCCACATCAGCAGGAAACACTCGACGAAACGTATAGGGAGGAGGAAAAGCAGTTACAGGTACACGAGCGAGCCGGAAGAGTATTCGTGCGACGTGTGCGAGTTCAAGTGTCAGAATCGGCGCAGATTGAAGGAACACTTGGAGCGGAAACACGCGTCGGAGTACAAGTACGACTGCGAGTATTGCGGGAAGAAGTTCAAGGTGAAGGGCGACATGAGGCTTCACGTGCGATTCAAGCACAAGGAGGGCCCGATCGTGTGCGACGTGTGCGGGAAGACGTGCTCGAACAGCAATTCCCTGTACGTGCACCAGAAGTGGGCGCATTTCAAACCAAAGTACGAGTGCGAGATATGCAAGAGGCGAATGGTGACGCAGGAGAACCTCGACCAACATATTTTGTTGCAACACGAGAGACGGGAGAGCTTCGTGTGCGAGGAGTGTGGGAAGTCGTTCACCGAGAATCATCGATTGAAACAGCATATGATGACTCACACCGGGGACAGGCCTTACGATTGCCACATATGCGGCAAAGCTTTCGCGCGTAGAACGGCTTACAGGCAACACTTGCTCATCCACACGGGCAAACGGCCGTATATCTGTGATATCTGCGGTAAGACGTTCACGCAGAAGCCTGGCCTGATTTGCCACCGGAAGTCGCATCCAGGAGTCCATCCTCCCCTGCCTGTCGTGCACATAGAGCATATCCTTAGCGATTTCATGAAGAAAGAATGATGGGCGGCTGAATCGCGTGTGTTCGTCGTGCACGTTGGACGGTCGGTGACGTGACAGGAGAAGATGAGAGGTGTTCTTCCTCCCGTGCGGAGGGGAGAGGGATCCTTTCGTGTTCTTTTCATCGAAGATTTTATAATTAGCTAATTTAATTGAATTTTGAACTTGTTAAATCGATTGTCAAGTTATTATTAATGTAAAGAGGCGGGGATCGGTCTTCCTCGATTAATTGTTAACGCGTTCTTCATCTTGGCTGCGTTAAATTTTCCATCGATGGAAATGGAAAATTGCGAAGAGCGTAAATCATTGTTCGCGCAACGTTACGCCACACAATTTTAAATATTTAACTTTTTAACGGATTCGAACGAAGTTTGAGGTTTTTTTTTTTTTCAAGCAATCAATTTTGCCCACGTTTTCATTCAATCTCGTACGCATATTCGAATATAAGGAATAAAAGTAATTTTGTACGATTCCGTTTGTGTAAGATCCGATGTTCACGTGTTTTTTTTTTTTTTCATTTTTTTTTTTTTTTTTTTTTCTCGAATTTTATTCAAGGAACGGAGAACAGCAAGAATTTGAAATCTATCGTGAAATATATTGTACACTCAAGATGAGATTACAAATTTATTTTAGGCGAAATCTCGTGGCAGATATAACATATATTTTTCTTGACTATTGTCCAAAATTCTTACGTATAATTGTCTATGATCATTTGAAATAAAACGACATGATTTTCAATGCGATTGAAGATATATCGTTATTTGTCTAATATAATTAATTAATAGAATAGATATTGTATTATAATATTTCCACTTTATTATATTAATTTAAATTGAGAATAATCTTTATATCTCTATATCTTTTATATCTTTTTCTATATCCCTTCATATCAAATTCTTTATATAGTGAGAAACGGTGTACAGAAACGAATTTAGTGAACGAAGGTTAGTGTTGAAATTGAAAAGTATAAAAAGATGTATACTTTTCTATTATGAAATGAATGTAAAATAATGCAGGTAAGTATCAAGTACAAGTATATGATTTATTTGACGATCAATATCAATATAGACGTTTACAAATATTTGTAGGTAATAAAAAAAATCTTAGAGATATACGTTACTTTGAATAATAATCTAATTTTAAGTTTAATCGTACTTTATGTTTCAGGGAGTTCGGTTCGCGATTATTTCGGGATGCGACAAGTTCATCTCTAACGATTAATCAATAATTGTGCATCCTTGAAGTGCCATAAAGAGAAACGATTGCCTTTTATTATGGATTTTTGCCACTTGATTACACCATCGACGATATGGTTAAAAATAAATTGCACATCTTCCGATTATCTCGAACAAGTATTAAAACGATTTTAATTTCTTGAAAATTAATATGATAATACGATATTCCTTTTTTTTTTTTATTTTATTTTATTGATAAAAGAATATGAAATGACGATGATTCGTAAAAATTAAAGAAATATTTTTTAATCGATCGCAAATATTGTCATATCCATAACATACTTGTTGTTTGTATCGTTTTCTATATTTCCATCGAATAAAAACGAATTGAATTTTTCTTCTTCTTTAACACTCTCGAAGAATAAAATTATTAATTACTCAATCTATTGGTAGTAGTAATTTTACTCTTTTCACTCGTCAAACTCGTCATGACTATTACCTTTGGCTGTAAGTAAGATCATGATAAGTAAGTACAAACCCTTTTAGAACCCTTAATAAACTTTAACTTTTATTCTCCTGTTTTAGGAATGGAGAAATCCAGTCACGTTTCAACCACTCCGTCCCAAAATCACCAAGCGTTAAAACCAGCGGTATTGAAGATATCAAAAGAGAAACGAGATCAGCCGAAAAGGGCGAGTGCAAAATTTTACCGACCTGTGACATCTGTCAAAAACAATTTAAGAAGAAATATCTATTAAGAAGACACAAGCTTGCGCATGATGATCAAGATAAGAGAGACGCGTCCTCGAAGGGCAACACCCAACTCGTGGAGCAACTAGCAAACTCTCAGAAACAGGAAGCTTTGTCCTGCACCATTTGTGACTTTCGTTGCAATAAGAGGTCAACAATGATAGCCCATCTGGCTCAAAATCACGAGGGTTCGGGCAAAAGTAAATTCACCGGTAAAAGAAAGTTCACCTGCATCATATGCGGCCTGATCTGTTCCCGAAAGGAGACTCTAAGGTCTCATTTTGTACGGAAGCACACCCAGCATTACGAGTTCTCTTGCGAGCAATGCGGCAAAGAGTTCAAGATCAAGGGTGATCTGACCACCCACATGAGATTGAATCATCGGGAACCACCGGTCATGTGCGACGTTTGTGGCAAAACGTGTCGAAACAGTCACAGTTTGTACACGCATCAGAAGCACGCCCATTACAAAGCGAAATACGAGTGCCCCGTGTGCCACAGAAGATTGGTGACCAAAGAGAACCTCGACCAACATGTGTTGACCCAGCACGAGAAGAAAGAGAAGTCGGTTTGCGAGGAATGTGGGAAAACGTTCTTCGAGAATCACGATTTCAGGAAACACATGAGGATACACACAGGAGACAAACCTTATAGCTGTTCCGTGTGCGCTAGAGCGTTCACCACGCACAGTAGTTTGAGCCAACATTTGTTGCTGCACACCGGGGAAAGGATTTACGTTTGCGACGTGTGTGGCAAATCGTTCGCCCAGAAGGCTGGCCTCATATGTCACAGAAAGATTCACGGAACGTTGCCACCCCTCCCTGTGATGCATATCGATCATATCTTGAAAGAATTCATGAAGAAATAAACCATTTTACATACACCGCCGCTGTGCGTTAGATTTAAGAAATATCTTATCGTTTCTTTTTTCTTTTCTTCTTCTTCTTTTTCTTCTTCTTCTTCTTCTTCTTTTGTTTTTTCTTTTTTCTTTTTTTTTTAATATCATTATAAGATTAGTCTTTTCGTATCGCGAGCTATCTATCGATCGATCTTGAAAAATTTCCCGAAGACTGATTCAAAACGACGTTCTTTCGAAACTTATTTAAATGTATGGAATAACTTGTTATTATTATACAAAAAGAGATTTTATCGAAATTTTCTAAAAATTGTTATCAAGATCTTTGAGTATATTAATTGTTCTCTTAGGGAGCAATTCTTAAGAGGAAAAGAATTTAATGTATTAGATTTAAGCGCCATTTTAGATTTAAGACCACCTAATTGTTTCTACGTGAAAATAACCAATGATCTTTTTATCGTAATTTTTTTTTTTTTTAACATGGACGGACTTTCTGTAAAATTTTCCCCAACGTAAAAAAAAAAAAAAACAATAAAGTACAATTTTTTCTCACCCACGACACGTTTCGATTTACGACGAACAGATATATATGTATATATATATCTCGATACTTCTGCTTCACCCTAATCTCTCGCTCTCGACGCATTCTTCACGACTAATTCTTCGAGTAACAACATCTAAGCGAAACAACAATCTGCAACAATCTCTTTTTACTTTACTGTAATCGTAATAATCGTGAGCAACAATCCGCGCTAACTCCACTCTTCACCCCCTTCCCTGTGTGCTAACAAATCGGGTTAACAAATCTCTCGGAGAAAGATTCATTGACGGGCGTCGTCAATGATAACCCGTTAAAAAAAAAAAAAAAANAATATATATAT